ATCGACCGCTGGTGCGACTGCCTGCAGAGAGCTGCAGTGCCCAGTGCCACCAGCGGACAGACTGATAGAGACATCACACTTTGGGCACCACAGTGCACACGTCCACGACCATGAATTCAGTGTGTGTGTGTGAGCGGAGCCCAGTGCAACAAAAAGTGGCACTTCACTGGCCCCCTCCTTAATTAGCGCAAATTAGCGTGACGTCTCACAGAAGCAGCAGCAGCAGCAGAAAAGGCTTGAGAGAGAGAGAGTGTCATGCATTAGCAGCAGCTCACATTAGGACAATGGTGGTCGTGGTGGTAATCATGGCCAAATTGGCGCGTAAGCCATTACTCATAGCACGGGAGATGCTAGTGCTGACCACAAGCAAAGAACAACAACAACAAGAGGAACAAGAGTGGGTTAGCTTTTCTTTCTTCCGTGTGATGAAGATGATGATGAATCGATGGGCGATTGATCGATCGGCGACACACGACTTTCGCTGACCACTGAAGAAAGTGGTGGTCGTGGTCGTGGTGGTGGTCATTGGTGAGAATCACCGAAACGGATGGTCTCAATTTGCGATCATCAGAATCTCTCATTGCCCATACAATTAGTGGCAATTGTGGTGATAATAATATCAGTTAGCCAAAAAGTTGAATTCTAGCAGATAAACAAACTTCGAGTTTGCCATAAGTCATAAACACTAAACTTTTTCTGCCAGCTTTCATCGGCAACACTAATGTACAGCCGCCAGTGCTCAGTTCAGTGACATTGAACGGAGGGGAAAAAGAAAAAAAAGAAGAAGAAGAAGAAGATAACGTCCTGTCCTCTCTTGTCAGTCAGTCAGTCAGCGAATGAGCACTCTTTCACCTTTTCGATTATCGTCAGGTGACTGTTTGTGTGTGTGTGTATCTGTTTACGAGCCTTTACAAGTGTTGTCTGCTTTCTCGTTTTAGTGTGCAAAGTGACAATTAAAGCGAGTAAAGAGTTGAGTGAAAAAAGAAAGAAAGAGAGAAGCTACGACGACTTTGTTGATCATTAGCAGAAGAAGAAGCGAGGAAAGACTCTTGTAAGCAGCTCAAACACAAACACAACACTTTCACTGACAGCGACCCAAGCTAAAAGCCATGCAAATGGGCAACTCGCACACACAGTTGTAAACTGTCTACACCCGAAGACGATCTCAAGACGATCTGTCAATAATAATCATAAAGCTGAAAATGAAGGTAATTAATTTGAATTGAAGTTATTAACACTGCTACGCAGTTGACCAAGGTCGCAGCACTTAGCACACTATCGTCATTTTATTGCTGATGGAAGATGAGCTCACTTTTTTCAATGGGCAGTTCATCATCACCATCAAAGTGTTTGTTTGTGTGTGTATTTTTGTCTTTGTACAACACACACACATACACAAAGGCTACATTTAGTGCTAAAAGTAGCTCTCTCCGTACGGCAAAAAGAGGAAAAGAAAAAGAAGAAAAACCAATTATTGTAAACGTGTCTGCTAAAGCCTGTCGCGAGACTTCACCGAGCACGCAAGCAATCGCAAAAAACTTCGGTTGCTGCTGATGCCGTTAGCAATCGCCAGTAAAGAAGAAATAGAAAAAGAAAAAGAAGACGGGTTAGTGAGGAGAAAAAAGTGTGTCAGTGAGGAGAAGCAGTGCTTGCTTGCTTGCTTGAGTCATCAGGTATTGAGTCGAGAGCCCTGATGAGTAAGTGAACAAGAAGATGAGTAAGAACGAGTACTGAAGCCTGACACCTGAAGCTGACGCACTGTCGAAGCATCTGGCGGTGCAGGTAGGCGATTGCAGGTAGAGGTAAACTAAACTAAACTAAGCATGACTCGCTTGACAATTATTAGTAGCATTCATCCATTTACACCAATACTTCGTTTTCTATTCAATCACAAGCACACATTTTTGTGTGTGTCTGTGCAAGTGCACAGTGTTTCTGCCCCTCTAGAATCACTTTTTGGTAGCACAATCTAAAATTGGACAATCAGCAGCAGCAATGACAGTCAGTGCACTTAGCTTCAGATGCTGAAACCTAATCTTTTGACAGTAGACAATCTTTCTCTATCTATCTGCTATCTGTGCTCAGCTCGCTCTAATTAAAGTGAAGGCAGCAAATTAATTACATTTTGCGCCCTTTTACTTTTTTGCTGCAACTGAACAATTCGGAGGAGGACAACACAGCGTTGTCCAAGTTGAGTGGGCTCTCAAATTTCAGCACCCGAGCACCAGGCGCAAATGTGTTGTGGTGGTACTGGCGTGCAGCCGATCTCGGAGTGTGCTGCACTCGCCGCCCTGGCTGGCAATTCATCAGCGTCGATTAGTATTAATTAATATCGCCAGTGAGTGAGTGCAAAGCTTTGCATTCAGACAGCAGCAGCAGCAGCAGCAGCAGCAGAGGCACTCGATCTGTGCGCATCTTGTTTTTTGTTTGTATTTACTCTGAACTGCCAACGCTCAAGAGAAGGGAAGAGAAGAGAAGGGATGCGGCGTCCATTGACCGGTGTGCTGCTGTTTAAAAGATTGGAGAGAGAGATGTCAACAGAGAGGGGCAAGGAAGAACTAATAATATCAACAGAAGCAGCAAACAAAAGCCTCATTACGAGCCATTTGCCGAGTGCGGTGGCCAACACACTGGTGTGCATCAATTCGGGTGGTGGTGGTGGTGCCTGCCAGAGCGTGGCAGTGGCCATCGAGAATGAAAATGAGAGAAGCCAAATGAAAAGGGGCACTCGAGAAGAGTAGTGACTACCACTGCACGAATAGGGCCGATTACATGGCAGTGCCAGGCGAAAGCAGCAACGGCAGCGGAAGAGTAATTAGGCAATAGATTCAATTAATTTGCCCACTGGACAGAGTGCAGTGCAGTGGGGACATTTGGATAGCAATAGCAGAGCAAGAGCAGTGCTCGGCAATTCATCATCGCTAAAGCGAATGTGACAGCCTCCTCCTCGATACACCGACGCACGGCACCGAAACGGGTCGCACACAATTGGAAAGCGAGAGAGAGAGAGAGAGAGTTTAGGCCTCAAAGGGTTTTGTTGTTGGCGGCGGCGACAATGAGCCTTAGCACACACACACTCTGATGGCAAATAAATAAGCTGAGGACTTGCTGTGTGTTGTGTACTCAGTTCACTCTGTTGCCGCTGTGCCGAAGGGGTTGCATCGGCTTTTCACCCGATTTGGCAGTGATGAATCTGCTTCTGGTGCTGCTGCTGCTGCTGCTGGTGCACAAGAGTTTAATTTAATCAAAGAGTGCTCTAATGGAATCAGAATGAGCTGGCACTGAGTGAGGAGACAACAAGAGAAGAAGAGTAAGCAAGCAAATAAGCACAAAAAAGCGGCGGGGCTGAAGCCCAAACTCACTACTTTGACGAACGATAAGTTCAAATTAATAATGTCACTGCTGCTGATGATGAAAATTGAATAAAGTGAAAGTTTTGAAAGATTGGATTACTCCTTTAAAAAACTAATAAAATGAGTGAAAGCGCAGCACTCTCGGGTGAGTCTACCACTACTGCCAGTGAGCACCTTTTAGCAGTAATTAAAACTCTTTCTCCAGGCAGATCATCAACAACAACTGCAGCTGTACATCAACATTAGACAGATAGAATGACAATGGCATTGTGAAGAAGGTGTGCGTGTGCAAACAAACAGTCCAGTCAGTCAGACTGGGTGGTAACACCGGTTCAATTCTATTTTCCATTGTGTGATGGCGCCGGTGATTGATGCCTGCCTCTGTCTGCCTGCCTGTGTTCACCCTCTAATGACCGGTGTCAATGGCGGTGGGGGTGCAGACTGCACTTCACTCCTATTCTATTCGATTCTATTCAGTTCAAAGTGATCTGTTGTTGTGTAAATGCAGAAGGCAGTGCTGATTACTTGTAATAGCCTTTGCCTTTGCCTCTGTGTGCCTCTATCCATTTTGTAGACAATGGCAGTGCAAGCAAGAGAAAAGGAATCACTGATCTAATCTGAGAGAGCACCACATCAAACAACATCAAACAACAACAGCACTGACCTGATGATGATGATGACTGTGCTCATTTAAATGGCTGCCAAAAATGGACTGATGGTGTGGCAAAGATGGGCGCCACAAATCGATCCTCAGCAGCAGCAGCGTTTTGAATGTCAACACACACAAACTGCTTCTTTAGATGATGATGATGATGATCACCTATCCTCTCTTCTCTTCCTAATTCTAATCAGCTGTCTCCTTCTCTTGCAGCACTGCAGTTTAGATCAGTATCAGGCAGGCAAAGTTGGCACCTGACCGGCCAATTACACCACCACCACCACCACCAATCTTTGCACATCTGTGGTCAGACTAGCACACACCGGTGGTGGTGGCTGAAGATGACGAGCGACCCCGTCTTCTTCTTCCTCCTTCTCTTCACCCAAGACGCATCATTACGGCAGCAAACTCATCGAGCAGCAGCATCAGCCAACAACAGCAGAAAACTGTACCTCGTCATTAGCCGTCGCTGCTGATGCTGCTGCAGCTAACCCAAGACGATAAGTGCAATAAATCAATAGAGCAAGTGGGCTGCTGCTGCTGCTGCTGCTGCTGCTGCTGTAGAGCAACTTAATCTAAATTTAATTGCATCATCTTGCCTGGCTGGCTGGCTGACAGGCAGAGCATCAACAGAAGAAGATGAGCTCTCAGTGATCGGCGCTGCAGTGATGACCGATGCCCGCTGTTTAGCCTGTCTAATTGTCAAGTGAGTGTGCAGAGCAGAATCGACCCGGAGAGTGTGCTGCTGCTGGTGCTGCTGGTGCTGATCGTGCATAAATTAATTGGCGCAACACTTGTCGAGGTGAAGAAGAAGAAGAGGGTGAAGAAGAAGACACAAACTCTACTCTTCACAAACACTCGGACTCAGTGTGTTAATGGTCGCAGGTAAACGACGACAGCAACGGTGTGCGCGATAATGGACAGGAAAAGGCAGACAGAGAGTATGAGAGTACGGATCAGGTGTGATCAGAAGCAGAAACAGCAGCAGCTCAGAACATCTTGAGATGATTACCACCAGCACCTCCACTGTGGCACAACGATCGCTTCTTCTGCTCCTTGACCAGGGCACTCTTGTGCACTCGGTAGTGCAGCACCAGCGGCTGCTGCTGCTGATCAAAGCTTGGCGACACTCGCCCGACCAGATCGGCAATGGTGCGCTGGACGGCAACTCCCACCTGCAGCGTCTTCTCCAGACTAAAGGTTGGGCAAAAAAGCGTTAACAAATTGCTTGGTAAACATTTTTACTGTGAGCTTACTCGACGACGGGACCAGTCCACACCGACAGCTGGTACGCCTTGAAGCGCATGCCAATCTTCAGGCCGCAAATGTGACTTCGAGCGGTGGAGTTCAGTGGAAAGATGTTGCTGGCGGTGGACTTGTCATCAGCCACTGTACCTTCAACAGCAGCCGTAGCACCACCTTCTTCACCTCCCTCAAAGATAAACTCGAGCAGTCGACGCCAAATGGCGGCCACCAGGGCGACATCAGCCCGGGCAAACTCCAGACTCCACTCGCCGCCCTCTCGGTTGGCCACGTCCTCCCACGTCGGCTTGACGCCCTCACGAAAGACCGAGTAGTCGCTGGGCAAGGCTGCAAAAAAAGATGATAATAAAGGTTAAAACTTTTCCAAATGAACAAGCAAAACAGCAGCACTCACCGACTTCGTGGACTTCGAGCAGTTGTCCGAGGAGTTCACGCATCTGTCCGACCGTCTGAAAGGGCGTACCCAACTTCTGCAGACCACTGTCCCACTTAAGGAAACGCTGGTCAGAGCGCCAGAACCAAAACTGCCAACTGCTGCTGCTGATGCTTTTAGCTGGCATTCCCAGAGCCCGCTTCACTTCAGTGGAGCTATTGAACTGATGACCTCCACCACCAGAAGCAATCTTCTTTTCTTCTTCATCACCTCCCATAATCGAAGAGGAGGAATCCGTCTGCGGTCGTCCAAATCGTTCCAAGCTGGCCAGCACCGAGCCGAGCGTCTCCTCAAACTTTTCGCCCGTCTTCTTGAAACCTCCTCCTCCTCCTGGTGACTCCTTCATCTTCAGGAGGTTCTCTCTCCAGCGCTTCCCGTCCCCGCCTCCCGAGCTACTCTTCAGCAGATCGAGGTAGTGCTCCTGCAGCTCCTTCAGCGCCTCATCCTCCAAACTGAGCTTGGCCGTCTGCAGGAGGGAAGTTTGCAAAGATTTCAGGGCGACCTCCACTCGACGACGACCTTCCTCCAGCTGACGACTGCGAGCAGTGGTGCCCAGCTCAAGGTCGTCCAGCTTCCAGCGAACCTCCTTGATTACCACCTTTCCACGGTCACCACTACCAGTGGACTTTGGGTTCGGGTTCTGCTGCTGACGATTCTGCTGGTCAGCAATGTTGTTGGGCTGATGCTGATGCTGCTCTCTTTCATTGGAAGAAAAGAGGCGGTCAAACTTGCGAGTCGCCAGCGAGGACTTCATCTTGAAAACGATAAGCGATTTTTTTTTCTTGAAAGTTGAGATGCTTTGGCTCGTGGGAATGCTAGCGAGTGAGTGAGTTAGAGCGTGAATTGTGAGCAGTCACCATAAGATTTGCCACGACAGCAACGGCAGCCCATTAAACACATTGGGAAATGTTCTAAATGGCGTGTTTGCAAGAAGCAGCAGCAGCAACCAAAGCAATTTATGTGCCAATGTCTACTGCAGCTCTTCTCCACTGTTGTTGACACAAGAACGGACATCAAGACAAGAAAACATTAAACAGAACAGCCAAAAAAAGTTAAATTACGACGTGTAACGAACAAATTGACGAGAGAGAAGAGAGGAGAGGAGAAAGAAAAACATCCATTCAGCAATGATAGCGGCAGTAAAAAGTGGCACTAAAAAAGTCAAAGCAGAAAACATATCTTAGGCAATTGTTGGTAGTGGTGGCACTGAACATGCTAAATGCTAATCTATTGCTTCCCTTTTCCTTTCTTCTTCAGCAAAACTGTCCAAACCCGAATCGTGTAATCGGTGTGCACACACAGGGTAGTACATCCAAGGGTGGGCAGGGTGCAAAGGCAAAGGCAAAAAAGCAGCATTTGTGCAAATACCGCGCCAGTTTGTTCATTACCCTATGATCAGCAGCAGCAGCAAGAGCAATAATATCCATGTCAACGTCACTCGGCTGACCCCGCCAATTATGTCATCGAGAGAGAGAGAAAGAGGGCCACATATTTATGATTGCCACCTTGCACCCGAAACAGTTGATCATCGTGAACATCGATCTGAACAATCTGGGCAAGCGAGAGGGCAAACAGCAGATTGGCCATACATATCGGGTGACACAGCACACACAAACTAGACTTTATTACTATTCAATGCTCCTCTTTTCTGACTCGGGTTACGGCAATCGACAAACACAGACAAACTGCTGCTGCTGCATGACAGCAAAAAGGCTAAGCAAAAGACTGAATGCTCTGTTGTTTTGCACTGTTCATGTTCACTGGGCTGAGCACTGAGTAAACAACAAAAGTGCACACAGCCTGTCCTCTCTCTCTCCAGTGCACGTGGGCAATTAGGCAGATTGAGCAGCTAGAGCACATTATGGGTGCACAGATGATTAGAGCAATGATGGCAATGATGATGATGATGATTTAAGAGACACCAAAGGCATAAGCACCACCGAAGAAAGGAGTTGGCAGGAGGGGCAACACGCACTTGGTCAAATACACCACTACCATTACCACCACCGAAAAGACAAAGGCAAACAGTGGTCGAAGGAGAAGAAAGAGGCCAAAGTCAACAGTTGGTGAAAGTGAGAGAGAGAGAGAGAGAGAGAGAGAGAGAGAGAGAGAGAGAGAGAGAGCAGTGGCAAGTGCAGCACCAATGGCAGCAGCAGCAGCAGCAGCTTATCAGCGAGTGCAAAAGAGAACGCAGTGGCAAGTGTAAGCCCTACTCTGTCTCTTCTGATGAATTACGATTATGGCCCACCAACAACAGCAGCAGCAGAGGCAGATTCATTTACCAAGTTGGGTGAAAGAAAGAAAGAAAGAAAGAAAGAAAGAGGATTCATCGGTCAGCACACACAACAAACACACATACACTGCAAACTACGCGCACACATCATCGTCGTCATCATCCTCTTCAGCAGCATAATTTGCTGTCTAACAAGAAGCAGATGTATCGATAAGCAAGTGTGTGCGAGTAGTAAGCAACTTCACACAGAAAGGCAAAGCGGTCAACTGTTGGCCAGAAGAAGTGCTTCGCTCTTTCTCCTCTTCTCGCGAATAGAGCCAGCAGCAGCAGCAGCAGTGACAAATGGCCGCTGTCAACTGGCCGCCGGTTGCATGCAAATGAAAACGAATTGGTTCTTCTGGTTTTCACTTTTTTATTTGCTGCTGCTGCCACTTCGACCAAAGTTCATGTTCGGTTTGGTGGTGGTGATGGTGCAGCAGGCAGACACTCATCTCATGTTCACCCAGTAGGCCCCAGTTGTTAAATTGGTCGGAATGTGATCTGCATCAGCTTCAGTCTCTTTTACTACTTTGCAGGAGTGAGGCGTCAAAAGGCAAATGAAGTTCGTAGTGCTCGTATTGCTCAAGTGAAAGACTGCATTTGCTGCTGCAAGAGGACGCATAAATCAAGTGCAGTAGATGTGCATTTGTTTTAGCAGCAGCAGCAACAGCAGCAGAATGAAAGCTAGTGACCGGTGACCAGGAAAATGATTTACTGCACTCAGCTGCAGACTACCAAGTAAAGTAACTCCGTCTGAGTCCACCGTGAACAGTGTGCTGCGTCCTCCCAGATGACATCATCAGATGTGTCCGAAGTTGGGCAATGGCGAGGGTGGCTAATTAATTAGTACGAGGAGGCAAAAGGAAGAGAACACGCAACCAATGCCCACACATAGCACCAAATGGACCTTTGCTGTCTGTCTGTCTGTGTCCAATTTGATTAAATCACCGTCACCTCGCTCGCTCTCTTTCTTTCCTCTAGAATTACACTACTGGATTGTTTTAAATTAGACGGCCAATTTCGGGTGATGGGACATAAATCAGCAAACAACAGCAGCAACAGAAGCAAATCTGTCAGTGCCGAACAGAAGTTGAGGGAGAGAGAGAGAGAGTGGACACATCTGCAGCAGCACTGACCAGTGGTCAGTTTGGCTTTCTCAATGAAAAAAACAAAACTTTGTGCTGTAATGACTGCTAAATGAAGCAAACTGCAGTTGACATGAGATTAAGTAACAGGCGTGAAGTGGGCACCCCGGCAAAAAGCACAGTTGACACACACCAAATGGCTAACAAAGAAGTGACAGAGGAGAGGAGAGAAGAAAAAGTAAAGCAAAGCAAAGTGAACATGGCAATGCTCTTTCAAGTTCAAGCTCTGCCTTGACTTCAACTTCAACTAAGCTTCTGTGTCAAAGTCCTCTGACTTGAAGGCTCCAGTGTAAAAGTAATTGACATTGGTAATTGACGCACAAATCGCTCGACCGCACACATCGTCACTGCTGCTGCTGCTGTTTGCAATCTCTGATCACATCAAATCACATCACTGAAAAGCGAGAAGAAGCTGTCTAGTGTGATTCAGATGTTTAAATTACAGACGACACCTGCAGCCGCCGCCGCCGCCACCATCGAAAACATCAGCTCTAATTAGGTAATGAGCGGCAACAAAAACATAACAGAGCACTTAAATTGAGTGCTCAAAGAGGTAAGGAGAGAGAGAGAGATAAAAGAGCTAATTTTAAATTGCCGCAAGTTAGGTTCTGGGTACTCAGCACAGTTTCAAGGTGGAAATAAACTTGTAATCAGAAGGTAATTCAGTAGAGTTGAGAGCTGATTGACAGACCTTTGACTGCTGTTGCAGTTGTCTTGTCGCATGTTTAACGCACCTCCTTCGATGATTGGCAGCCATCAGCAGCAGAAGAGCGGACTGAGGTGATGTGCCCATCATCATCTGAGGTGGTGGTACGACGACAATTAATAACAAGCGAGCACAATCATCAGATTTTATACTTCTCTCTCTCTCCCTCTCCGAGATGTAATGTGCTTAGGTAATCGTGCAAATTAGCCTGCCACTGCCACTGCTAGGCACGTAGAGGGCATTAAAAAGTGACGGTTACCTCTAGGAGGAGATGATTGAAATTTAAAAGTGAGAGAGAAAAAGCAAAAGCTAATTAACTGACAGTTCTGGCGCGGACAAACACAAAGCACTGCTGATCACACACACACACACAGACTGAGGGGTCAAGTGAGCATCACAAAAGACCGATTGAGGTAGGAAGACAAAGGAAGACAAACTGGATGACCACCATCGGCAATTACCTCGGCGTCTTTCTTCGCAAGAAGCCTCAGTGTAACGTGCTATTAATTAGCAATCAATTTGACGCCAGAGTGCGAGGCGAATCGACGGGCACCACCACCACCACCACCGCCACCACCAACTACTACATGTGTCACTTTCTCACAGGCCAATATTGGCAAAACTGAAAAGAGAAGAAAAGCAAAAATAAGAAAAAGGCAGCTTGGCAGCAGCAAATGGAGCCCGAGCATTAGAGCGCTAATAAATCATCTTTCACTTCTTCTCTCCTCCTCCTCCTCATCCTAAACAGATTACCAATTTGGGAGCACTATTGCCGATTCTATGCTTATGTGCACCACCACCACCACCATCACATCTTACGATGCGGCAGAGGTAAAAGATGCTGCTGCGCTAGTAAATCATCGACCACTCTCGCTGGCTGAACCCAGAGAGCTCAAAGTTTGAGACACAAAGTTGGAAAAGCTGATGCCGCTGCTGCTGTTTACGTAGCGATTACCGTGTGTGGTGGCGGTGTCGCATCCCAGCAACAACGTCGGCGGCGGCTCCGACAAAGCAAAAAATGGGCAAAAGGTAAGCGCACCACCAGGAAAAGAGATTTAAAAGTAGAAAAGTGGTGGTGGTGGTGGTGGTGGTGATCAGCTTTGTGGTGCCCCTTGCTCTCGGTCTCTCTAATTGGTCTAAGCACTGAAACGAGGTGATGCGGCGGCGGCAGCATCAGAAGCAGCAGCAGCAGCTCTTCTTTGTCGGATCAATTTAAAGTCCTA